GAGAACCACGAGGACCTTCTCCCCAACCTCACCACCTCTGCCCCAGGTGGGGATTTTGGGGCCGTGGCTGAGCTCACCTGGATGACCAAAGGGTCTGGTTGACTCTGCAGCTCCTCATCCCCACACACGGTCACGGGTCCCCCCTTGGTGATGCTGCCACCCACAAAGACCTGCGAGAAACCAAAGGTTGGGGGTGGCTGAGGCAGCGTGAGGATGGAGCTGATGCCAGCAGCACCCCCAAAAACTGGAAGGAAAAGCCACGAGGTGCCACCAGGGACCTGCTGGTCCCTCACCTGCCCCACCAGCCTGGGCCTGTGGGTGTTGGAGATGTCGTACTGGCGGATGTCCCCGTGCAGCCAGTTGCTGAAGAAGAGGAACCTGTCGTCCAGCGAGATGAGGATGTCGGTGATGAAGCCTTGAGGTGGGTAGGACAGAGCTGTGCCCAAGGGGAAGCCCAGGGGGGCACCTGGGCACCCAACCCCAAGGGGGGGTTGACACTCACCTGGCATGTCTGGGAGCAACCAGCCTTCCACCTTCTTGCTGGCCACTTGGATCACCTTCTCAGCTGCCCAGTCTCCTTGCTGGGGGAGGAAAGGGGGGCTCAGTGGGTGGTAGGAGCAGCGTGAGACCCGATGCTGGGGCAGATGCTGTCTCCAGGGACAAGGAAGAAACCTCAGCCCTGGCTCTCTTGGGAGCCAGGGGAAAAGGAGCTCTGGAGAGCTGAGGAAAGGCTCAAAAACTCCTGGAGTTTTCCAGCTGGGTTAGCTGGTTTGCTGCAAGATGTTCTCTCTCCTCACCCACTTGGTCATGACGCACGGCGACAGGAGAACATGGCTGGGGCTGTTGGAAATCCACAACAAAGGGATAAAGAAATCTCTTTTTAGATGAAATCATCTCAGGCTAAACTGCTGCCGGTCCGAACAAGTCCTCTGGTGAGATTCCCTCCAGCCAGCTCAGGTTCTGGGTGTGGAGAGGAGGCTGCACAGCTCAGGGAGGGGGGGTTTTGGTGAGGACTCGAGGTGGGGGATGAAGGAAGCGGGGTGCTGGGTCAGCAGAGGGGCAGAACCCCTTTTCCTCAGGGTGGGAGCTCGTACCTCAGTCTTGTAGAAGCGGTGGATGGAGCTGCTGATGGTGCAGCCCACGTAGCCCGCGGCGGCGGCGGAGTCGTGGAGGAAACGGATCTCCAGGGGGGCTGAGTCCTCCCCCACGTCGATGGCCTGGCTGTGGGTGTGAGTGGTCCAGTCCCACACGTTGAGGTGGCGTCCGTAGCGCCCTGGCAGTTGGGGGGGACAAAGAGGGGGGCACAGGGGATGGGACTGGTGGGGTTGGAGGAGAACTTGGAGCTCCTGGAGTCCACCCAGGTCCCCCCTGCCCCGTGTCCCTCACCCCACATCTCCACGGCTTGGGAACCCCTCCAGGGGTGGGGACTCCACCACTGCCCTGGGCAGCCTGGCACAGCCCTGGGCAACCCTCCAGGGCAAGGAATTGTTCCTCAGGGGCAACTGAAACCTCCCCTGGGGCAACTTGAGGCTGGTTCTTCTTGCCCTATCCCTCGCTCCTTGGGAGAGGAGCCCCTTGCTTTGGACCTTGGCAAAAGCCACGAGAAGATGCCCAGCAACCAACGGTGACCATCTCACTGGGAAGGGTGCTGTAACCTTTTGGGGGGTGCTGGGCTGAGGTGGGGCATCATCCTTCATCCCTGGGGCCGAAATCCAACCCCACAGCAGCATTTTTGGACTCCTCCTGCTTCTGAACTCCTGAAAAGCTCTCACGGTCACTGGGCTGGGCTTGTCTTTTTTAAATCCACCTCTCTAGGAACTGTGTGGAATTCATTTTGCAGGTAAAATGGTCTCAGAGAGTTTCATCTAAGCCCACCAGCTGCCAGCTCTCAGTGGTAAGAGAAGGGGGTTGAAACGTGGCTGTTGGGGAGTCCTGCCCAGCACCTTTCTCCTGGAGCATTTAAAGAACTGATTTCTCACCTTTCTTTAGATCTTTGGGGTCAAATCCATACCCCAGACACTTTGGGATCCCCCATTCCGTGCTGATCAGGACGTTGTGGCGTGGCTGGTACCAGAAGTCATAACCCATGGGGGGCACCTTGTCCCCTCTCTCCCAATTCCCCTTGATCTCAAAGGTCTCTCCATCCAGCAGGATGAAACCACCTGATGCAAAACCCAAACCCCACCAGTGAGGACTCAGCTCATCCTCCTCATCCTCCAGATTCAGTTCGTGTGCTCTGAGACAAGACAGAGCAATCTGCTGCAGGAGACCTGGAGCCTCCAGGAGAGCTCTGGAGGGGGGATCTGCCCCTCTCCTGCCCCAGCACCTTCCCCCTGAGGGGCTTGGGGGGGGGGTCGTGGGTACCTTTCCCAGCGCCGGATGGATCTCCCAGGGTGCTGATCATGATTTCCCCGCTGCCCAGGCAGTGGGAGGTGTGGGGGTAGCCCAGGTTGCACTTCCAGAAGACATCCTCTGGGTTGATAACCTGCCAGGAGTTCAGAGGCACCGTCACCTCCTCCGGGCCAGGCTGCCCCTGGGCCAGAAGGGCTTTTGCTGGAGGTTCACGAGCCCCGTGTTACCCACTGGCAGGGTTGGGCACCTCCTGCCTGACCTCAGGATGGGGCTTTCCATGAAGCCAAGCAAGGCTGGAGGTGCCAGCTGGGGCAGGGCATGCCCAGTCCTGCGTCCCAGGGCGTGCTGGCACACCAGGCAGCCCCAAGAAGCTGGCTACTGGCCACCAGCAAGGACCTTGCACAGCCAGGTTGGAGGTGAACTGCACGTGGGTGCCCAGGGCTCCTCAGGAGACGTGTGGTGGGGAAGATGTGGGGGCTCTAAGCCTGGGGGGCACTGCTCTGCCTGGCACTCAGTGTGGCCTGGTCCCCTCCTGGTGGAGAAGTTGGGGTGTCAGAGAACCATGGGATGGTTTGGGTGGGGAGGGACCTTCCAAACTCATCTCCTCCAACCCCCCTGCAGGGAGCCGGGACAGCCCCAACTAGAGCAGGGTGCTCAGAGCCCTCAACCTCCCCTGGGATGGTGCCAGGGATGGGGCAGCGACCACCTCTCTGGGCAACCTGGGCCAGGGGCTCACCACCCTCAGCACCCAAAATCTCTCCCTTCTCTCCAGTCTAAATCTCCCTCTTTGAGTTTAAACCATCCCCCCTTGTCCTGTCCCAACAGGCCCTGCTCAAAACTCTGTCCCCAGCTTTCCTCTAAGCCCTGACAGGCCCCAAGAAGCTCTTTATGGAGCCTTCTCTCCAGGCTGCCCCATCCCAACCCTCTCCAGCTGGGCTCCCAGCAGAGGGGTTCCCCCAACAGATCATCCCCATGGCCCATTGGCACATCAGCAGGAGAACCCCCACACCTTCCACAACCCTCCCACTCTATCACCCAGTCATCAGCATCCTGCAGAGCTCTCAGACCTACCCCAAAACCTCTTTGCTAAGCTGCCACCTCTGCCAGAAACCCCAATCCCAACCCCTTTTAACCCTGCAGGTGCCCTGGGACCTTGAAGAGTTTGGGGGCTCGTGGCTCCGTTCCCACGTCCACCACGTAGATGCGGGAGGAGATGAAGCTGGGGAGGATCAGACGGTTCCTCTTCTTGGTGGCATCCCCAAAGCAGCTGCTGCAGGTGTTCCACCCCGAGTGGTGCAGCTCGTCCCCCACGTTGGGCATGGGAAGACGGTGGATGACCTGCCAGGACCCAGGGAAAGGGTTTTTAGGTGGGTTTTCGAAGCCCAGGAAGGTTCTAGAGGCTTGGGGGAGAATTGGACGTCAGCCTCCAGGGCTGAGCTGGCAGCTTTGGGGAGGAGCTGAGATGGAGCATCTGGTACCTGGCAGTAGTGTGGAGATTGGGGGTTGACATCCACAGTGGCCAAAAAATCGGGTTTCTGCCTCCCAGTGTTCCTGTAGATGCAGGGCACGTACACAATCTCCTCCCGGGGGCCTTTGGGGGCAGAAACGTTGTGTGAGGAGCAGCAGAAACCACCTCGGGTGGAGGAAAAGCCTTCTAGGGGTCTCTGGCCAGCTTGGGTCTCCCTCCTGGGCAGCCAAAGTGTTCCCCCAGTGGTTGGATCTCCATCCTCCTGTCCTACCAGAGGCACCAGGCTGGGCTCTCTTTGGAGGGGGCTGCTGTGCTGGGGTTTGGGCTCCTCCAGAGCCCTTGCCCTGGGAAAGGGGGTCTCTGGAGCTCAGCATCCCTAAGGAAGGCCACGGTTTTGGGGTCACCTCACCCCTTTGGGGTCACCTCCCACCTTTGAGGGTGCACCAGCCCTCCCCCAGCCTCAGCAGTCATGAGAACCAAACCACGTTGTCTCATTTCCATCCCATCTACACAGGAGAAGCCCCAAACCCCCAGGAGAAGCGTTTCCCAGGCTGAAGTCAGGGGCAGAGCCCCCCAAAACCCCTGGGCAGAGCCCCCCCAAGCCCCTGGGCAGCCCCATCAAGCAGTGAAAACCTCCCAGGACGTGATGGTCCAAGAGGGGCCAGGCTGTGAGACATCCCCCTGAGAAAGGGAGGAGGGCTCTGCCCCAGGGGTGTCCTCACAGCCCCAGGGCTGCCACGCTCCCAGCTCCTCTGGGGAGTGGGAAATGGCTTTTTTAGGGGACCTGAGCGTGGTCCAAGCCCTGGGCAAGAGCTTTGAGATCCCTCAGAGTCTCCTTATCGCTGTGGACGTGACACTGAGTCAGGAGGGAGCACTGCCAGAGGGAGGACTCGTGAGGAGGAACTGGTTTAGGAAATGCTGAGGAGAAGGGAAAGGGAGAGAGAGGTGAGCTGGGACCTTTGGGTTGGAGCCAAACCCGTGGCCAGTTGGCTCTGCAGCCTGCTTGCCCTCACAGCTCTTGGCACAAGGGGTGACTGGGGCAGGCCGGGGGGGGTGCCAGCGTGGGGGAGTTGAGAACAGCCACCAAACCCCCAGAGATCCCTTCCCTGCACCAAAAATCGGGGGGGGAGGACGCAGCCACAGAGCTCACACACCTCCCAGGGGACACCAAGGAGCTTCTCAACCCCTGACCTGCCAGATCTCTGCCTGGAAGAGCTTTTTTTTGGGTGCCAGAAGTTACTCAGCGCCGCTGAAGCAACCAGATAGTTCCCAAGGGAACTTGCCAGAGTGGCAGAGTCAACGGGATTTGTGCTAATTGCTATTAATTTTAATCCCTGGCTCGTTCTGCTGACACACAGGGATGTTTTAAAGCCTCATCTCTTCGTTGTTGCTTTCTTAGATCAAAGGCAAACAGGGCTGGGAATCCCAGCTCGTGAGCAAGCTCCAGAGCTCTCCAAAGTTCCAGGGCTGGTGTTTGCTAAGCCATGGAGGAGAGGATTAAGGGAGGGGAGAGCTGGAGATGATGCAGGCACCAGGCTCCTCACATCAGCACCAGGCTCCTCACATCAGCACCAGGGCTTTGGCCAGGCAGGGAGAAGGATTCTCAGGCAAAGCCCCCCCAGATGTGGGAGGAGTGAGCTGCTGAGGCTGGTTCTTGGACCAAGAGGTTTTGTCCTGGTGGGATCCCAGCCCTCAGGAGCAGAGTGCAGGGAAAATTCAGGATCTCCTCCTCTCCCTCCTCACCTTTAGCTCCCGTGGTGGAAAACTGAGAAACTCCAACCCCCCCCCCCCTCTTTTGCACAGAGGAGCCACGGGTGGCTTTGCTGCAGGCAAACCCCTCCCAAACCATCAGGAAACCTAAAAAAAACCTTGATTCTGACCCCAAACTGTTGTTATGCCATTGATGTTGGACCTGGGGAGAGGCCAGAAGCAAACCCCTCACTTCCCCAACCCCTGCTGCTGAGAACAACCTCCTGAAAGCCTGGATTGAATCTTCCCCTAAATCCCAGCCAGGGCTCTTCCCTGCCTGCCCCACTTGCCTTTCATGGCATCCAGAGGTGAGCTGAAGCCAGGACCACACGCTCCACACTCTCCTGCTTTGAGAAGAGCAGAAAGAAGCAGAAATTAGACAGCAGCAAGTTTTTTTAGCCCCTTTTTTTCCAAAGGAACCACTCGCTGGGCTGGCTGCTCCGTGGCTGGGTCTGAGGTGGACCAGGGTGCTCACTTGAGCAGCCAAAATGACCCCCTAGAAAGGTTTGGGACCCTCAGTAGCCCAAAAAAGGCCAGTGATATGTTCCTAGTGCAAAGATCCAAGCCTCAGAGCCACGTCTGTCCCCCTTGCCTCCCATCATCTCCTGAGGAGAGGGAGGAAAACCTCCAGCTGAATGCTCTGACTCTACTCTGCCTCTTGGTTGTCTTCTCATTTGGTTTATCCCTGGTGTCCCTGCTCCTGCAGGGAACAAATCCCACCTGAAGCACCCAAAACTCCTCCTCCTCTCCAGTTTGCTTCTCCCTTCTCCTGCAAAAAACCAGCCCTGCCCCAGTCAGGCTGCACTGACTACAGCAAACAAGCTGCAGATGGATAAATGAGAGAATAAGTCAAAGGCTTCTAATTCTCAGCCTATTTCCTGGCACTTTCAGCAGTTTGAGGAGACAAACCCTTTGCTGACCAGAGAAACCACCACGTTTATCCCCCTATTTCTTTTCATTTCATGTTTTCTGGGTGTCAAGGCAACAAACCCACCAGACCCAGGTCCCAGGGAGCTTATTTGGGCTCTGGAGCAGATCCCAAGGCCACCAAACCACCATCAGACCCAACCCTTCTCCTCTGGAAGGCAAATTGGAGATGACAGAGAGGTCTCTTACCTGTGCTGGAGGCTGGGTTGGGTCTCACCTGCTGCTGAGCAGGGGATGGAGATGATCCCACCAACATTCTGCCCGCCAGGAGCCACCCCAGGGAGAAGCTGCAGCTCCGTGGGGGTTCCAATAGAGAGAGAGAGAGGGATGAGGAGAAGGAGGATTTGGGCTGAGGACATCAAGGGGAGGATCCACACGTCGAGGGGAGGGGGGTGGGAGGTGCCAGGGCAGCCTGGCAGCACTGGGAATGTGCAAGGGAAGCAACTTCAGAGCGCCCAGAAGCTGCTCCCCTCCCACAGGGGTAGGGGATGGGGGTTTTCAGGGAAAAACATGGGAAAAGATGGGAAAAAGAAGGGATTTAGCACAGAGGGAAGGTGGTTCCTCCTCTCCTCCAGCTCCCTGCGTGCAGCACGCCCCGTTTGCCCCTGGGGCTGGTGAGGTGCCAGGGTGGGGAGCGGGCAGGTGCTGCCTTCCCCAGCACAGGAGTCCTCTCAGGAGCTTGCAGAGGTTCATCACCACTGAGCATGAAAAAACGAGGCCTGAATTTCTCCCAATTTCAGGGTGAACGTTCCCCGTGGGAGGTTCACGGGCCAGCAGGGCAGCAGCCAGGTAACAATTCCCCCCGTGGCACCTCTGGCTGCTGCTTCTGCCCCCAGAGCTGGGCAAGGACATCTATGGTGGCCTTGTCCTCCCCCAGTGCCCACCCCAGGCGTGGAGGCTGAACCAGGGGGTTCAAACAGTCCATCCCTCAGCTCCTGGAGGGTCTCAGCAGCAGAAAGACCCAGCAGCTCAGTCTCAGCTGCTCCTCTGTAGTCGCTGCTCAGCACCATGGGTCATCCCTGGGTCTCCCACCTTGCCTCTGACCCAGGAAAGCTTCTCCAGGGCTTAGATGCAAAGGGGAAGGCACGTGGAAGCAACAGCCCAGCTTCATCTGGACTTCATCTGCACCTTCCATCACCATCCAAGGAAGCAGCTCTGCTGCAGCTCAGCCTGGAGGTCCTGAGGGGGTCCCCTCCCTTAGAAGAGGGGTGATACCAGCCACCCCTCTCCTCCTGGGCTGCTGCTGGAAGCTCTGAAGGACGTGGGAGGTGCTGGCACCAGGGAGAAGAACGTCTTCAACCAACCACTAGAGGGAAGAGACAAAGCACCCAACGCTTCCCCAGCTAAATCCCATCCAGCCCCACCACCTTCCACCTCAAGGAAAGGCCCATGGTCCCCAAAATGTGGCAATCAGGATGAAAGAGCCAGGAACAGACCTTGGAGGGGATGAAGTTTGCTGATACCAGCAGCAGAAGGGCCACGTGCACCCCTGGGTGGGATGGTGGGAGGAGGAGCTGGGTCACCTCTGCAGCAGTTCCTCTGGATCTTCATGGCTCAGAGACCCAGCTGAGTCCTCTCCTTGCTTGGCCAACCCCCTGGAGGTCAGAGAGGGAGGGCAGTGGGTGGTGTGAGGGGCAGCAGGCTCTGATCAGCCCCAGAAATGTGGCTATTTGGTGGGGGAGTCCCTCCTGTGTCAACTTTGGTGGTGCCTGGTCCCACCACGTGGAGGGAGGAGCTGGGAGGTGGCTCATTCCAAAGCCACCTCAACACCAGGGAGTTCCTGGGGATGGGAAGTAGGGAATAAATCTGTTTTTAGGGTTTTTTCCCCTTGCTTGGCTTGGCTTTTCCATGAAACTGCTCGTTTTCACCCCCAAGGGCTTTGTCTCCAGCTTATTTTCCCTTCCCCCTTTGCTCTGGGGAGGAGGGAGAGGAAAGGGGGAGGGTGAGAGAGCATCACTTAGTCAGGGTTGACCCACCACAGCCCTTTTTGGTGCCCAACGTTGGGGGAGTTATTTTCTGGGGAGGATGAAGGAAAATAGTGCTTTACCCTGGGCCTTGGGGGCTTTGCTGTTTTGGGGGAGCTGCATTGCAGAGAAGATGATGGAACACATCTCCCTCCTCCCACCAGGGATCAACGTGGGATTTAACCCTGGCAGGAAAATAACCTGTGGTGGGAGCTGTGTGTTGAAGAGGGGAGGGAGTAGACACGACCTAAAGAGAGGATTTCCCAAAGAACCAGATGAGAAGAACCCAAAACCCACCCCCAAAAGTCTTGCAATCCAAGTGGGAAAAGGGATATAAAGTGAGAAGATTTGGGTGCATCTTTAAAACCCCTGGATTTCTTTGGTAAACTGATATAAATTTGATTGTTTGCCAATCTTTTGATGACTATCACGGGTTTCATTCCTCTCCCCCTTTTTCTCTTTGTAGGAGAAAGCTGATATTCAGAAGGATCCACATTATATCCCCATTTTTTGCAGCTTTTGGGTTTCTGGAAGACTCACGGGCACTTTGAACCAGCCAGAATTTGCCACAGGGATTTCTAAACCCCTGAGAACAATCTAGAAAGGCTCCAGGGAAAGAAGACACGTGAAGATCCAACTGCTGCAATGCATGATTTTATTTGAGTAAAGCAGAACACAAGAGCAAACCAGAGTGAGGACCAGGCACCTCGTTTCCAAACCAAGCCCTTGATGCCCCTTCAAGCTTCTTCTCTGGTCTGCTTGAACCAAACCCTCAGAACCCCCCACAGCTCAGAAATTTAGACTCCAGCAATGAACCCTCAAAGCCCAACTACCCCCTGCTCTTGGTTAATGGCTGCACTAGGGAAGAGACAGAAGGCTGGAGCCTGTCACCTTCTAGGAGCCTGCCCAAATCTAGGCTGAGATTTCAGAGGTGGAGTCTCCAGAAGGGAAGTGGATGTCATGGGCAAGGCAAGGCCCGTGGGGTTCCTTTCCAAAGTCCACCAGGAAGTTCTTGTTGACTGTCAGGCCTCCCTTCTCTGTGTCCACATCAATCTGGAGCATGACAGAGCCTTCCCTGCAAGGGGACAAGAGTGTGGCTGCTACAGACAGCAACCCCTGGTCCTCTCCAGGAGATCCTGCCCTCCACCACCCTGGTCCATATCAAAGCAGAGCCTTCCTCCTCAAAGTGTTGGCACTTTCCCCATTTCCAGTGCAGAGCCCAGCCAAAAAAAGGCTTCCCAAAGTTTCTTACCTGACCACGTTGGGGTAGAACTGCTTGTCCCAGGTGCTGTAGAAGGAGTTGGTGACGTACAGCCTCTTGCCATCCAGGCTGAGCTGCATTTTGCAGGGTCCACCGTAGATCCTCTTGCACTGGAGACACAACAGACATCAGAAATGCTCCTGGCTCCTGTCCTGGAGCAGCCCAGCACAAGCAGGAGCAGAGCAGAGCCTCCCAAGCTCCCAGATGCTGCAGGCACACGGGTCCCTCCACCCACACCCACCCCAGACACCCCGGGCAGAGGATTGGCAGAGCAGAGCCAAAGTCCACAGGACACCAAGAGGGCAACTCAGAGCTCACCTTGACCACCAGGGGCTCTGGCTGGCACTTGAGTTCTTCATCTCTACACACAGTCACGGGTCCACCTCTGAGGATGCTGCCTCCCACAAACACCTAGAAACGAGGCAGTGGCCGTTGTCTTCCCCTCCAGCCACCAGCAGAGCCAGGAGCTCAGGAAGCTCCTTGGAAGCCCTTCTGCTCCCACCTTACCTGTCCCGCTCATACTGGCGGATGTCTCCATGCAGCCAGTTGCTGACATACAGGTACCTGTCGTCCATGGAGATGACGAGGTCGACTGTGAAGGCTGAAGGAGAGAGAAACAAAGCTCCAGAGAAGGCAGAAACAACCCAAAACATGCCCAACCTCACGCCACCCAACCCGAGGCTCCGGGAGGAAAAAAAGAAACCCAATTTTGGGCCCACCAACCTGGCATCTTGCACATGATCCACCCCGACACCTCCTTGGCCGGTATCCGGATCACCTCCTCCACGGCCCAGCAGTCCCTCTGCAGAAGGAACGGGGGCACCAGGGGGTGAGCGACCCTGGTGGAGGGGCAGGAGCCCTCCCTGCACCTCCACCCCCCTCGATTTTTTCAAGGGGAGGGGTCTCCAGCCCTCTGTGGCTCACGGTGGCCAGGGCAACTTGCCTCGCACTTGTAGAAGCGGTAGATGATGCCACTGAGGGCACAGCTCACGTAGCCCTCAGCAGCATCAGGGTTGTGCAGGAATTTCACACTCAGGGGCAGGGAATCCTCCCCCAGGTCAAAGCACTGGGTGAGGGTCCGGCAGGACAAGTTCCAGACGTTCAGGCGCCGCCCGAAGACCCCTGAGGAGAAGGATAAACCGTGGATGGGAATCCCTCCCAGATTGCTCAAAGGTGGGGATGGCCACGGCAAAGACAAGTCCCCACCAGCAGAGAAGCTGCCAAGATGGAAGGAGCAGCAGGAGGAGATGGGAACCAGCCTCATTTAGGGAGAGATGCTGCACCTCCTGTAGCCGTGCCCCTAAAATGGGCCGTTCTGGGGTAAAACCAGCCTGTCCCCTCCCTCTGTGGGGGTTGACACCCTCCCGCCACCTCAGTGGGCTCAGGCTCAGGACCTGCAGCCACGTTCTCTCACCTTTCTTCAGGTCATCAGGATTAAAGCCACGTCCTGCAATTTTGGGGACAAAGCCAGCGGAGCTGACCAGGACGTTGTGGCGCGGCTGGTACCAGAAGTCACACCCGGTCGGGGGGACCTCACACTCGTGTTCCCAGTTCCCCTTCAGCTCAAGGGTCTGTCCATCCAGCACGATAAACCCACCTGAGATCCAAAAAAGGGGGGGTTGATGTCAGTGTGGTGACAAATCCCACCCCCCAGGTCGGAGGAACCAACACGCTCTGGGCGTGAACCCAACTGCTTCTAAACACTTCACACCTCCAGACTCTACAGCTCTTTGGTGGGTGAAGAGATGGGTGTGTAGACTCCCAGGGCAGCAGGAGTCCCACCCCCTGGGGGGTCTCCAGGGGAATGTACCTTTCCCATTGCCAGCTGGATCTCCCATGTTGGCGATCAAGATGTCCCCGTTGGGCAGGCTGCGGACTACAGCCAGGTAGCCCTTGTTGCACTTCCAGAAGACATCCACGGGCTCGATCATCTGGGAAAAGGTCACACACACATCAACCTGGGCCTGCTGGGCTTATTTCATGCTCCCAGTCAGAGCTTTTGGCCACCAGAGTCTCCTGAACATCTCTGACTCTTGTGGGAGCTTTCGGTGCACGAACTCATCCTTGCCAGGGCTTGTTGCTCCTTGTAGAGGAGCCCAGAAGACTCTGAGCTCCACTCTGCACAGACAAGACCAAAGCAACACCCAACTCAGGCCCCTTCATCTGTCTGTAGCTTGACTTGCAACAATGAGACACCCTCCAAACACAACAAGCCCACAGAAAGGACCACACCAACAACTGGAACCTTCCTTGCTCTGACAAGGAGCGAGCTGAGAGAGAACCACGACCCAGCTCTGTAGAATCAAGCTGGAAGAGGAGCTGCAGAGAGAACCCTTCATCCCTGGCTAGCATTCCAGAAGCACCGGTTCCCACCTCTTTCCCAGAAACCTGTCTTTGAACCTCCTCCTTCATACCTTACACAGCTTGGGAGCCCGGCACTGGGAACCCACATCCACCACGTAGATACGGGAGGAAATCAAACAAGGCAGAATCAGCTTGTTCCTTCTCACAGGGACACTGTCCAAGCAGCTGCAGCCACCACTCCACCCCGAGGAATGCAGCTCGTCTTTGAGGTTGGGCATGGGCAGGCGGTGGATCCCCTAGGCAGGCAGGCCAGGCAGCCCGAGGAATGCAGCTCGTCTTTGAGGTTGGGCATGGGCAGGCGGTGGATCACCTAGGCAGGCAGTCAAGGCAGAGTTAGGGGTGGGCTTGGTGGTGGTGCCACCACGAATCCCTGCACTGAAAGAGCTCTGGGCAAAGGTTGAAGCTTGAACATGAGGGATGAGGTCAAAGGTGGCCAGTAGATGTAGACAACGTATCTTTGGAGCCTTCAGAGACAGGTCTCCTGTTGAGGGTGGGATTCTCTGGCAGCGAGTTGGGAAGTGGGTCAGAGATGACTTGACCCCAAGGTAGAGAGGTGGAGATGAGGCAACTAGAGCCCAGCACGCAGGGGACAGTGGAGAAGAGGCAACATCATGGATCTGCCAGATGAAGCCAGCAGCTCATCACCAGCCCAGTAAAAACCCAAGTACCTGGCCATAACATGGAGATCTGGGGTTGAGATCAACGGTGGCCAAGAAGTCAGGCTGCTCAATGCATGTCTCCCTGTAGGTGCAGGTCACGTAGGCAACCTCCTCCCTAGGAGCTGGGTCAACAGAAAGCTGGTGTTAAAACACCCCATGAACCAGCCAAGCAGGGGAAGAAAAGCTTCAACAGACTCTTAGATGGGATTGAACTTCTTTTTCTGGATGCTCCAACCTTCCTACAGGCAGTTGAACGAGGTGAACGTTGTAGGTTCCTCTCAGCTGGACTGTTCTACTCTACCCCTTCTTGCTCCCTGACAACAGTCCAACCCTGCTCCATCACTGACCAAGAGGTGAGAGGACAAGAGTGGTAGATGTCTACAGAGTTTCAGGTCTCTCCCTCCAGGGGAAGCCCCTCAGAAGATGCAGTTTCTCCACGATGGGCTCCACTAACCCCAAAGCTCTTCCCCCAACACCACAGCATGCTCAGGAGAACTTGCCTTTCAAAGCCTCCGGGCAGGTGGGGTACTCGTAGCACTGAGTTCTGCATCTGTCTGATGAGGGGAGAGAGAAGAACGACATGAGAAACCTCCACATCCTTCAAAAGTGCCTGTTCAGAAGAACCTTTCCCACCCCAGGGACCTTCTCCCTCCCCAGCTACCAACACGACCAGCCTCTGCTAGGGTTGTGGCAGTGAGAAATCACAGATCCAGGAGAGGGAACCTTCCTGAGGTGCCACCAGGGATCTCACAGATCAACACCTCACTCAGTTCCCTTCTGCCTCCTCCAAGCCCCTCACTGATGGAGACAGAGCTTCCCCCAAGGACCATGCCCAGACTGAAGATCTAGCCTGGAAAAAGGTCTGTTCCCATGTCCCCCTGCCTAGAAGGGGAAGGTCCTTCCCATCCAGATGTTACACCCACCTCAAAGCAGCTTTTCAAGGCAAAAAGAAGCCCCAGAGACACGGAAGGAACCTTTGGCACACCCCAAAAGGCTCAAGTTGAGTCCCACCCTTCTCCTCCCTGCCAAGGAACCGACCTACTGGTCCCTGTTGGGTCTCAGGGTGGGATGTCTGCAGCCCCCAGCCCCAGGATGGAGCTTCCAGGCTTGGAGCTGCCGTGGGGAGGCTGCAGAGTCTCTCTTACCCATGCTGAAGGCTTCTGGTTGAGTCTCCTCAAGAGCAGAGGTGCTGGAGCTGGAGGTTTTGCTGTCTGCCTGGTTGGAGAAGGTTGTGTTGTGCTGAGGCTGCTCCAAGGGGACCTTATATACAAGGCAGAAGGGTGGGGGGCACGAGGAAGCTGCCAAGGGAGGAGCCACCTCTGCCCAGGGTTTGGGAGGTGCCAGACCAGCACCGTGGCTTGTTTCCTCCTTGCTAACCACCAATCTGGAGGAAAAATCTGCTGGGCCATGCAGGTCTTTTCCTTAAACACAACCTTGCCTTATCTGATCCTGGAGCTGTGGCCACTTCCAGTGGACTTCTTCAGGCTCTGGAAGCCTTCAGAGCTTCCATCTCTCAGCCCAGATCCAAGGTAATTACATCCAACCCCCCTCCATCCCCACGTTCAAAAGTGCAGTGGCTGCAAATTCCACCCAGGGGATGAGAAGCCCGGGCAGATAATCAGCCCCACCAGCAGCCTCCTGCAGATTACAAGGTTTGGACGTAGGGAGGCCACCAAAGGCACCTCTGAAACCTGGACCCTGACAGGAGGCACGTCTCTGGCTGAGGGTTGAGCTGAAGGCATCACAGGCTCGGCTCAAACAGCACGTCCCAGAGGTGCCTGCACCAAGAAAGAAGAATTTTGGAGCTCTGAGGGCTTCAAACTGGGCCTCAGCACCCAGAAGAGGAGGGGGTCTCCAACAGCAGGGACATCAGAAGAGAGTTGAGGACCTGCTGGAATCTCCCCAGCAGCAGGATGCCCCTGGAAGTACAATCTCTGCTCTAGTTGAGGCAACATCTCCCAGGTCAAGAGGTGGCTGCTGCCTCCAGGTTTGCAGCTCCACGTGGGAGTCAATCCACTCGTGGAAAACAGGAATCTGTAGGAAAAAGGCTTTTGAGGAGCAGGTGACAGACCTGGGGCTGTGGAGTCTGAAGAAGAGGAGGATGAGGGGGGGGACTCATCTTTAACTCCCCGAAAGGAGGTTGTAGAGATGGAGGCGTTGGTGTCTTCTCCCAAGTAACTAGGGACAGAACAAGAGGGAATGGCCTCAAGCTGCCCAGGGGGGGTTTAGGTTGGACATCAGGAGGAACTTTTTCACTGGAAGGCTCGTTGGAACGTTGTTGGAACGTTGGAACACGTTGCCCAGGGAGGTGGTGGAGCCCCCATCCCTGGGAGGTGTTTAAAAGCCACCTAGATGGTGGCCCTTGGGCCTTGGGTAGAGTAGGGTTCATGGTTGGACTGGACCTTAGAGGTCTTTTCCAACCCAAGTGGTCCAAAGTGCTCCACAGGGGACCAGCAGAGGCCTCTGTTAAAGAACCCAAGGTGCTGGAGAGGAGAATTTTGGAAGGAGGACCCTCCTGCTGAGCCTGGCTGCCAAGCTAAAGCAGGAAGGAAACATCCAGTGCTGTGGAAGGTGAGTCAGTAGCACCAACCCTTGTGGAAGAACTCCTCCATCTGTGGGTGAATGCCATGGGATAAGCAATTCCTCCCCACAGGAATGCAGCAACATCTTGACAGCCCCATGAAGGAAGCCCTCAGGAGATCTCTATCAGCCCAGAGGACACCTGAGCCCATCTCAGGAGGGTTGGGCTTCCAGAGCAGCACTTGGAACGTGGGGCAGGAGGACAAGGAGCAGCCAAAGACTCGCTCTTCCCTCTAAGTCAGCAGCAAGGGGCACCACTCGTGGTGGTTTTTAGGAGGAATTGGTCTTGGCAGTCGTGGTGCAAGAGGCAAAGGCCATGAGAAGAGGGACCATCCACTCCCCCACCCAGAGGCTTCCACAGCACCAGTTGACAACAGACAAGGGGTGTCCCAGGTACCTCAAGGTTCACTATGAGGCAAGGAGAAGCTCTTAAAATCATATCGTGGAGGAAAGGAGGAAGCTGGCAAAGGGATGGCTCAAAGCCTGGTCTTCTGGACTAGGAAGTCAAGATCCTGGGCAGGAGCAACCTCAGGGAAAGCAATTCTGTCCTCCTCCCACATGAGGCCTGTGATGGAGACACTTCTGGAGGGCTTCCATCCATCCAGAGCAGCCCCTTTCATTCAGCACAGCGTCCACTGAGGACCTGGGAGACCCCAGCAGAGGAACCTTCCTTGGAGGACGTGTGAAGGATGCCAGAAGAAAGAGGCATCAAAGAGCTGGAGTGGTCCAAGAGCATCAAGTCAAGCAGGATGAAGGTTCTGGGCTCCACGCTGGACTTTGGGGGGTCAGTGTTGTACCAGATTTAGTGTGTGCAGGATGTCACCACCTCCAGAGGGAAGGAGACCCAACAAAAGACCTCTGCACATGGACACTGGGCAGAACAATGACCCACAGGTCAAGGCAGGAGACCCAGAGTGTGGCTGGAGCTGCTCAACTGATGCCTCTCTGCAGCCTGCACCTCCATACCTGCCAATTAAAACCTTCATTAGCCTTCCACTCATTAACCAAGTCGGCTGGTCACCCGATTTGGCTTCCCTCGGGGACGTCTTTGGCATCCCTCACCCAACCAAGCTTGGGGGGGGCGTGGGGGGTTGGGTCTCCTAATTAAGCTGATGACAGGAGGGATAAGAGCTGGCTCAGCAGCTCCAACCAGCCAGCCAGAGATGGGCAGCAGGGAACACCAGCAACAGGTCCAAGAGCAGCTCCCTGTGGTGTGGGAAAGCAATCAGGGGCTTCAAGGGACAGCCCACACTTGAGGTGGCAACTGCTCCTCACCTTCCAACCCTCTCTTCCAGCCCTGGTAGGGAGGGACATGCTGGGATTTGGCTCATGGGCAGGAGGAGGTGATGCAACCCAGGGCAGAGCACCCCAAGAAACGTGCTGGGAGAAGTCTTCTCTTGGTGAAGGAGAGAAGATCTGCTCTAAACACCCAGCAAGAGCTCCCCCGACTACAGGAGCCACCTCCAACCCTCCCTCAGGTCTCCACGGGGGACGTTTGCTTCCCACCTCACCCTGCTGTCAAACTCCAGAGGAGCCCCAAGGTATCTGAGGGTTGCTCATCATCTTGAGCTCCTAAATCCTCTTTTCTTACTTCTTCCCTGGCCTCCACACTCCCTGTGAAGCTGCTGCCACATTCAGACAGCTCAGCAAGGCACTGAGCACCACGAGAGCTGGGACAGACCCACCAAAAGCTGCCAGCAGGGCTACGTTGTCCTGAACCTTCTGGAGCTCCAGGTCTTCCAAGGGTCTCACTCTGTTCCAGTCCATTCCCATCCTCAGGAGCAGAAGGAAAATCACCCCCCAGGTCACCATTTGGACAGCAGGGGCAAGGGGCAGAGGTTGGGCTACAAGCTACTCAACGTGGTGCAGGAGGCTCAACAAAGTTTAGAGGCTCAACTAAACTGGGCTTGATGACCTTGAAGGTCTTTTCCCAACCTAAATGGTTCTGTGATTCTACAACCTCTGGCTGAGAGGGGTGAAGAGCTCCCAGATGAAACGTTCATTCCTGAAGGACTTGGAACATTCTGGAAGTCCCAAGGGAGGGGACACAAAGCTCTGGCCAGCAGCAGCACTGGGGGGTCCCCCCTCCCCACTACACCCCAGGGCTACAACCAGACCTGCCCACCCAAAAAGCCACATCCTCAGGTTGGGATCTCAGGTGACGTGTCGTGACCTGAGGTGGCCACTCAGGGACCCTGTGAAGCCACAGGCAGATGTCCCCTGAGTCACTTTTCTGCTGGCTCAGCTCCTTCCAACGACTCCTCCCAGAACCACCAGATCTCCATCTGAGCCCAGAGGAGCACCATGAGGCTGGGGAGGGTGGAGGAGCAGGACCTGCTGGGGCTCCTCTTCCTCTCCTCTGCCTAAAGACTGACAGCTCCCTGCAGAGTCCCTGGGAGTGCTGCACATCAGAGTGGTTTAAACTAAAAAGAGGGAAATTTGGGACACTGAGGGTGTTGAGCCCCTGGCCCAGGTTGCCCCAAGAGGTGGTCGAGGTCCTGGAGATCTTCCAGGTGAGGTTGAAGGCTCTGAGCACCCTGCTCTAGTTGGGGCTGTCCCTGCTCCCTGCAGGGGGGTTGGAGGAGATGAGCTTGGAAGGTGCCTCCCAGTCCATAAGTCTGTGATTCTATGAAAATAATATAAAAAATATAAACCAATATCAAATAAACCACAACCAGGCTCCTGGTGTTCCCAGTTGGTGCCTGTTGGGTGCCAGGGGCTCTTCCTCTGGGCATCACCCACACGTGCACCTCCCGGGAGCTCTCAGCGTGGATTCAAGGAGGGATTTATCCCCCTGGATTTATCCCATCCCTGGATTTACTCTGAGCCTGTCCCAGGCTGGGGGATCACCGGGCAGAGGGGAAAATCTGGAGCATCCTAGGAGCAAGATGTTGCTGATCCTGAGGTTGCTCTTCGAGGTGTTTTGCTGCCCTGTGAGAAAAATAACACAAAAAAGAACTTTGAAGTCCACATCTGGCCCTCACCTTCCCCTGGCAGCCGTGGCACAGGCACCAGAAATCTGGAGCTGTCACCTTTGCTTTAGTCTCTGCCATGCAACAGAAGGTGTCTTCCAAAAAAACAAGGGCTGGGGCAGCTCTCGGCAGGAGTGAGAACATCCAGCTGGCAGAAAGGATGGTCAGTGCAGGTCTCCTTGGTGGCACCTTCCCACTCAAAGGGGACGTGGTCTTCACTCACCTCCTCCAGCTCCAGTGTTGGTTGCTCCATCCACTGTCACTTGTGGCACCTAAAACACCAAAAGACTGAAAATTTTTAGGGTTTGGTGGGTTTCTCCCCAGCCAGAGGAGCAAAAATGCCTCTGCAGGACATCAGAGAGGAACCATCAAGACACACAGGACACAGCAGACAACACCTTGATGCTCCTCATCTGCGAAGCATCCTCAATACCCACAGACACCCGTGGAAGCCCCGAGCTCCTACGTGCTGCTACCAGCAGGTCCTTGCTAGAGGGACCTTCCTGGGGTGGGACCCCCTTAGAGACCCCCCCTCACCCAGCAAGCGTGCCCAGGAAACCCCCTTTCTAGCCAAAGCCCCTTCCTCAGCAGGACCAGCTCATCCTCAGCCTCACTGGCCACACTGGGGCTGCTCCAGCCTCCCCTGGAAGAAAAACGGAAAGACATAGAGAAGGGATGAGGGATGAGAAGGCAAAAAAATGGGACTTTGGGAACAAGAGAGGACCACGGAGCAGGACAATTGTGTGGAGAGAGGGGAGCAGAGATACGGATCCAAAAAATTAGGGACAGAGAGATGGAGGCAGAGACCCAGGGAGGAGGGGAAGGGACCAGCAGGACAAGAGAGGAGAGGGAAGAGGCTGGAGCAGCGCTCGGTGATTATCTACATATAGCCTGATATGGAGCTTTGTAGCCACCAGCAGAGTGGCGCAGCGGAAGCGTGCTGGGCCCATAACCCAGAGGTCGATGGATCGAAACCATCCTCTGCTAGTTCATTTTTCCTCTCTCACTTAACTCACAGTCGTTTTTTTTTCTTCATTATCACCTTTAATTAA